ATTGCAATTTAACAAAGTATCACATTGTCAATAGTCACAAATTAAGAAGAGATGAGAAATAGTGTGTACAGTACCTCAAACATGGTGGTGGGTGACAAACAGGACATGGTGGGTAACACGATGGTGGTTGCAAACGTTTTGGGTGGCATGATGGAGATGACAAATGGGGTGGGTGTGGCATGACAGTGAGGCAGTTCTATGACACATTGGTGGATGGTGCAGTGACCCAACAAATGTGGCATGGTGGTGGCGACGTAGATGGCGAATGATGCTCCCAAACGGTGGTGGGTGCGGCACAGTGGTGGGTGCTTAACTATAGTAAATCTAGCAGCCAAAATGATGGTGACAATATGACAATATGATGTAGTAAACGATGGTGCAACGAGTTGTTAGCAAACGATAATTGCACGGTTCAACGAGGGTAGCATTTGTAGTGATACGTAGCTTTGCAAAAATTGAGTGAGTGAGAAAAAGGGAAAAACATTTTAAGAAGATATACTACATCAATTCAAGGAGGACTTGATCTAATATCTTTTCTCGTATTTTCAAAAATGTCATTGCGCCTGATATTATATTGGCTTTAGTATAATCGTTGTCATATCTTATTGTAAAATGCCCTTCCTGAATTAGTGAATGATTAAATGTTATATTGATAGTTGAAATTGAGTGAGGAAAGGGGTGAAATTTTTTAAGAAGAGATACTACATCAGTTCAAGGAGGAACCGGTGTAGTATCTCTTCTCATATTTTCAAGAATGTCACAGAACCTTATATTACATTGATTTTAGTATAAATGTTATCATATCTTGTTGGAAAATGTGCACCCTGCACTAGTGAATGATTAAAATGAGTTGTTATATTGATAATTGAAATTGAATTATGCTTTTGTTTACATGTTCTCTACTATTCTGACTCCTATTACTCAAGTTGTGTTGGACACTCAATCGAAGGATCAAATAGTATAAGAGCTGGTTCAAAGGTTGTTTGTCAAGTGGCTAAGAGGTGGTTCAAAGGTTGTTTGTCAAGTGGCTAGTCATTGCTCAAGTGAGATATCATTCAATGGTAAGATGCTCAAGCAAGTTGTGTTTGTTAAGAGATGGTATTAACACTCAAGTGAGGAAGTCATCAAAGGAGAGAAAATTGATACAATAAGTGTTTCACTCAAGCAACATGTAGGATGCTTGAGATACTTGTAGATGAGAGATTAATATGACAAGGATTTTGCTCTAGTGACTAAGGGACACTCAAGTAAAAATATTTACTAAAGAGAGAGAATTAATTATGTTGAATATAACAAATAAGTTCACGAGAGAGTCAATTGAACTTTTAAAAATTTTTAAAAACTAGATAATCAATTATTTTGAAAAAAGACAAATTTATTAAGATATTTATATACATTAAAATTAATTAAGATATAAAAATAAATATATTATATAAAATTATAAATCATCCACGTATATTTAACATTAACATAAAATAATATATACGAAATCAAATATATTTTAATCATATTCGATATATTATAAAAATGACTAATTATCACATTACTTATTACTTATTAAATTTAATTTAGTAAAATTTAGAGTTTATTTTATCATTTATACCATCTTTTTTATTTTTTATTGAAAAATGAGTTTATAACTTTTTTTAGAGATAGCTAAAGTTCAATCTTTTTCTGTATACTTTGACATCAAAATAAAGTATCATAAAACATTAAAACAACTAATTAATAAGAAATAATACACATGCTAATTTGTTATAATAGTGAACAAAAATAATAAAATAAATTACTTTGCTTATTCTCTCAAAGAGAATCTGATATTTTTTATCCTGTAAAGGAAAATTGTAAAACAAAAAAATTATGGAAGTGGAAATGTAAAAAAAAAAAAATAGAAATGTGAAAATAAAAAGATATAGGAAAATATAAATATGTGAAGATAAAATGATAAGAGAAAAAAAAATGTAAGTGAAAAATCATATAAGAGAATAAAAATAATATTTATTATAATGAGTGCATGTTGCACTGAAGTACTTGTGTCTCCACGTTTTTATATAATTAATTTCTTTTAAAATATTATTTTATTTTCTCTTTCTGTTATTTAAATATATTCACTTTTTTTTCTCTTTTTCATATTTTTTACTATTTTTTAAATATATAAATCATAATAACTAATTTTCTTTAAACTATAACATTTTTATTTTTCTCTCATTACATAAAAAAAACCGTTACAAAATGAATTCCTCTTTATATGTATTTATAGATTAGCCGTGAAAACACATGCAAAAGTACTCTAATTTTTTTATAATTAATTTCTTTTACAATGTTTTTTAAAATTTTATTTTATTTCCTCTCTTCAGTCTTTAAATATATTTAATTTGTTTCTCCATTAAGTACGAATTATCATTTTTTATCTCATATTTTTTACTATTTTTTAAATATATAAATACTATAATAACTATTTTTCTTTAAACTATTACACTTATTCTTGGTTCTCCAATGGCAAGTAAAATGGTTATAAAGGATAATCCCCTTTTTATCATTATAGATTATTACTATTTTTTATGAGAAAGAAAAATATTACCTACTTATCTCTTTCTCTCTCTATGTATATATAGATGGAGAATTTTATTTTAAATAAGTAAAGGTTCTTCCTAAGATAATCACAATCTTAGATGAAAAGAACTTCTACCATCACGATCCAACTTGATCGAGCAATTGTCGAGTAATAAAACCAAGGGAGGAATGTCTTGCAACCACACTCTAAAGTTTAAGTCAACGAGAAAACTAAGTTATAATATATAAATAAAAATTCTACATATGAAAAAAAAAGTTTATCTCACCAAAGTATTGTAATTCAAATTTATAAGATTATTGTAAAAATTCTAATATACATCATTAAAAGTTATTAAATGTTTTTCAATGTCTTTTAAGGACTATTTAAATGTCAAAAGTCATTTATCATACATTATTATTGTATCAATAAAAAATGTTAAGAATCTAAAAAGTTGGACAAGTACATAAGCCCCAGAGCTTAGAGCCCTTAGAGGCTAATGAGTTTGCAACTGAGTTATTAAGTCCTTGGTCGAGCTTGTTTGAATAACTCGCCCTAAAGTTTATTTTCACTTCCTCTTTTTACATTATGATTACTTCTAACACATACTTAATGAAGGGTTTATCAAATTGACTTTTAGTCATTAAATGGTTTTCCACTTTGAAAATCATGTCATGGATTAGGTTAAGCTTTGGTATTTCTCTCTAAACGACATTTTATATCTTCTTACAAGCTTTTCTCTTTGAGTTGTTCTTGAATCCTACTCGAGTTCTCTAGGTACATTTTGATTCTTCATCCTCTTTTTAATGAAATGTCTTCTGGTTTTGTTTCCTCTGGAAATTTTAATGGTTCCTTGCTGCCATTTATAGGTGAACATGAGGTTCATCATATCAGTCATGAATCTTTTGGAGAAGGGAGTTCCTTGAACTCTGATTCTAAAGTAAGAGTGGTGGTTCGAACTTGAACACCCTGAAATTGAAACTCATAATGCAGTGATTGAAACTGGTTTGAGCTCCACTAGAGGGACTCAAAATACTTGATTTCCTCCCATTCTAAATCCTGAATATAGTTTGGTACTTAGTGAAGTTGATCATTGTTCATATGAAGTTACCTCTATCTCTTCTGTGGAAGATATTTGTAAAAAATATGATGTATACTCTGATTTAGATGTTGAGTTTATGGTAGTCGAGGCTTGTTCTCCTTTTGATCAAGTTTATATGAAACCCTCTTTAAATTTTAAGGATTTTACTTTTGTGTATGAATGTCTGTTTAAGGATTTGGATATCCTTGTTCCTTTCTCGGATTTTAACTGTGATATGTTATCCATTCTTTGGGTAGTCCATATTCAATTGCATCTGAATAGTTGAGTCTTTCTAAAAGCCTTCTAAATTTTGTGCAATCTTCTTAATTTAACTTCTACCGTACATAAATTCATATATCTTTATCAACTAAAACATGATTTGGAGGTCAGTTGAGTTTCATTAAATGGATACCAACATGGTGGTCTTTTGAGCCTTTTTTTCCTCTTTCTGTAAATGCTTCAAGTCTCATTTTTTTTAAAATAAAATATTCTCGAGAAGATTCTTCATAATTTCTTTTCCTCAATCTTGACCATTCACCACATTTTCCTTTGTATTTTAGAGTACCTCACAAATTTAAATCTCGTGTCGAGTGCCTATTAACTCTCGAGGACAAAGCGGACATAAAAATCCTCACTAGCCTTCCTTGGGCAATCCCTTGTCAGGATTTATTATCTGTTCCTTTTGTCGAGAACCCAAGAGCTCAATTCTTGGGTAAGGCTTGTAACACATCTTTTTCTCTTTTACCAATTTTACCTCTTATTTATTTGATTGAATTTTCTTTTATGTTACAAAGATTATGGGATCCAATTTTAAATATAGAAAAGTTTGCACCAAACATGGTGGATCTCCTTCAACTCAAGTTAAAAGTGAAAGGGGTTCAAAAGCCCCACACCCTTCATAAACAAGATCAAATACCTGAGGTGAAGGTGGTTATGGAGACTCTAGCTCATCCTCATTCTCCTACTATTTAACCACCATCACCTTGGGTGCCTTCCCGACAACCCTAGATTCCCCATGAAGCACTTTCTCATTCCCTAACTTACGTGCTTCGAGGAACAAAAGGTCCATTAACTTATCTCAGTCATGTCTCGATCAACAATCCTAGTGTTGAATCATGTGGCATTTGAATATGATTGTGGAAAAAATGATGATAGGTAATGCCCTTTTGTTGCCTCATGATGTTGGGATGATTAAGACTATAGGTCCTCAAGATAGCATTGACTCGATCGAGGTAATGCTTGGACGTTGTTTGTCCATATTATATATGTGGAAGATTAATATCTTTGATATGCAATAGAGTGAAAGTCAAAGAATGAAACAGTTGGTGGCCCTCTGAAAGCAAAAAGAATTTTTTTTTGCCACCATAGCTAATCATGGAGTTGCACTTTTTGCTAAAGTGATAGAGAATCAAGCCCTTGTTCTCCAAAATATTTCTTTGATCGAGAAGGCCAAGATCATAAAGATCTCGATTTCAGCCATTGAACAAAAAGTTGCACTAGCCAAAGTGGAGCTCAAGGTCACAAAGGAAGAGATGATAAATGCTGAAATAAGATTTACCAAATTACAAAGGTTATATGACAAATAGTCAGAGAAACTTCACACTGTTGAGGGGCATCTTATGGGGTTTTTAAAGATGGATTCAAGAAGGTTGTAAATCAAGCCATAGTGATAAGTTTAGGCATTGATATCGAGCTTTTTGATTTAGAAAAATCAGTTATAAATGACCAGTTAGCGTTGGATCCTTTATAATTTGTAATATCAACACTTTTGTGACTTTATGAACATTTATATGTTTCTTGTGATCTATTTAAATTGTCATACTAAAATTTTATAAATTTGGATACGATATAACTTACCTTAAATGTAATAATATGTTTTTAAGTGGGTTGCATTCCATGTTCGAGGTATCATTTTACTGAATAGTTCTTGTAATTTACAAGTTCCATTATGAAACAAATAAATTACTCAGTATGGGTTGTCCCAATTTGGTGCCAATTTCTATTAGAATCGTGCAACGGAATGTTTGCATTTACGGACAAAAACCAAGAGAGGGGGTGAATTGGTTTCTTAAACAAAAATTAGGGTTTTAAAATTTTCCCCAAATTCCACCGATTAAAATGTTGTGTAAAGTAAATAGAGAAGGGATAGAAGATTACACAGTCAATTTATACTGGTTCGGATCAAAAGACCTTACGTCCAGTTGCTAATCACTCAAACAGAGGATTAACACTGTCACTATAATCACAGTTTTACAAACAGATAACAAATGAAAAGATAAGATAAAGAAAACACCTCTCTTGAGTCACACAAGAGATGAACACCTCCTTTGAATCCCACAAAGGATGAAGAACAACTTTCCCTAGAGACGGCACAACACACAATACACCAAGAAAACCCACTCAGTGATTCTTATCGCTTCTAGCCCACACTAGGTTTCAAAAGCCCCTTTTTCCTCCCAACAAACAGTTCTCTAGCAGTCACAGCTCTTAAATTTTGTTTGAAAAAGATTGTTCAATTTGCAGAGAGCCTTAGAGAACCTTAGGTAGAGAGATTAGGGTTTGGGAATTGGAGATTTTTGAAATTGAAAGAATTGGGACTAGGATTTTCGAAACTTGGTCCAATTTTGAATTTGAAAATGCATATCAGACCCAAATAATCAATTATCTTGAGTGTTAATCGATTATTCCAGAGTCATTCTCGCAGAGGAGCAAAAACAGCACCAGTTAATCAATTAGCAGGCCATTTAATCAATTAACAACCCAGTTAATCGATTAACAAGGCATTTAATCGATTATTCCAGAGAGCAAATGCTGAAAATGGTTTTCTTTCGGTAATAATCGATTATCCTGCCATTTAATCGATTAATCCAGTGTATTTTTGATAAAAATGAGTTTTTAGAACTTTTAAAGAGTGGTCTATGTGTTGGCTATCTTGGACTCTAATATTACAGACTCAAAAACATAAAAACAGAGTTATTACATAACATTACAAGTCTTCAAATCTTTAAGTCTTTTATTCTTGTATCATCATCAAAATCTACAAGCTTCGTATCCTTGTATGTTCAACATTTATATCCTTGTATGTTCAACAATTTCCCTTCTACTCGGTTTCTCTAAGCTTCTCCAACTTTTCTCCATACTAGATATCCTTTATTGAAGTGTCTTTCTCTAGCTCTTGTATTGTACCTCTTTTCCACTCTCCTTTTTATAGCTTCTTCTCATATATGTGCAAGATCTTGAACCTCTTTTATTAGATCCAACTTAATTTGGAAATTCTCATCATTTTGACTTTATCAAAAATTTTCCTTCTCCAAGATTTTTCACCAATCTTAATAAGTATTATGACATCAATACCATAAGTTAAACAAAAGGGTGTTTCTTAGGTTGAAGATTGAGGGGTACAATGATAGCTCCAAAGTATGTTTGGGATCTCTTTTACACCATCCTTTTGTTTGCCCGAACTTTCATTTAAGCTTGTTCAAGATAACTTTATTTGTAGCTTTTCCATGTCCGTTTGCTTAGGGTGTTGGATCAATGTCACTAAATGTTTCACACTTAAACCCTCAAAGAATTTTTCCAAAGTTTTGTCAATAAATTGTCTTCCATTATCCATCACTATGGTGTGTAGAACACCATGTATACAAATGATATTTTTTTAGATGAATTTATGAACGGTGAGTTATGATAATAGCCAACGGTTTTGCTTCAACCCATTTAGTGAAGTAGTTAATTGCTACAATAAGGAATTTTACTTGCCCTCTTGCCATAAGGAACGATCCAAGTGTGTTAACACTCAATTTAACAAATGACTATCATGCTAACACACTATGAAACTCTTCCGAAGGTGCATTAAACACATGGTTGAACTTCTAGCAGGCCTCACATTTTTTTACAAACTCATTTACGTCTTGCTTTAAAGTCATCTAATAGTAACCCGCTCTCAGCATCTGAGCTACCATGCTTGTTGCTCTTGAATGAACCCCACATATTCCATTGTGTTAATTGTTCATCATTTAATCAGCTTGGTCATTTTTGGCTAAGTCAATTTGAAAGATATCATTATGGTCTCAACTTAGTTTTAAGGGTCTCTTGTAGGATTATTTTATATTGTCCTAATTTCTTTGTACTGGCCAATTTTGAGAGAGTATCAGCTCGGTCATTTTGTTCCCGGGGTATATGGGTTATCTCAAACTGGTCAAAAGACTATATCAAATTCATGGTCATATGATAATACTTCAGAATGAATTATTCCTTAACTTAGAACTTTCCACTAATTTTCCTTGTTACTGTTGGAAAAACAATAACAATAATAATTTTAATCCTGATTTTGATTCTAACAATCAAACATAAACATAATCCCATACTGATAAACATGCTGTAAACTGAATGCGAAAGCGTACCTGAATTAGCCATAACGATGATGTCTTTGTAGAGCACTATATTGATCTTATGGTCTTCCACCGAAGAGCACCTGTATTTCCCTCTTGATTTTCTCTCTTGATGGGGATAGAAAGAAAGGAACGGGATCGATACTTACGTTCGTGTGTGTGCTCTCAGAAGGGGACCATGACCCTTTAGATAACCAGAATTAGGTTAATTACTTAAGTTTTAGTATTTCCAATTTGGCCCCTCATCAAATTAGAAATTGTTCTATGGTCTCTACACAATTTTATTTTCATGACATATGCTTTTAGCCAAAACTTTAATTTAGTCAGATCACTTTATTATTTGGCTTAATAAATAATGGCCCTAACACATTTAAATTAAATTATGTATCATATATATACATGACCCAAATTTTTCCAACAATCTCCCACTGGTCACAAATATATATGTCTTTACAACCTTACAAATGTGTTAGACTTTATGAGCTCAAAAGTGCCATTATATTCCTTTAGCATACTCCAAAAGTCCTGTCCATTAATCATATTAGGATATAGAACCAAACCAGCTTTTCATTGCATCATCGCAACTAAAACCAACAATGATTACTCATCCTAACATAACCAAATGACATGGATTCATCATGAAATGTGTAGCATAAAAAATTACGTGAAGGTGATCTGTACACGTCTATTTTCAACTGGTCCAAACTTTAAGTTATTGAGATCGATATAATATCCTTAATGTACAAAGTGTAATGAATGAACGAAAAAAACCGCATATCTATAGATAACCAAATATGTCCAAAAATCAATGTATACATATATGAAATTAAACATAGAACATAAAATATATGAAAGTGACTAACTCCCACTAAACCACAAATTCCTCAAACTGTAAAACACCCATGTGAGCAACATGCTCATGAAAGACCTTGGGCGGAAGTCCTTTAGTTAGAGGATATGCTATCATGGAGTTTGTCCTTAAGTGTTTTATGGAAATCTGTCCACTTTGTACTCTTTCCTTAACAATACAGCTGATTTATTGTTACAATATAACTTAAGTGGTCTTTCAATGCCTTTCACAATTTGCAGCCCTGTGACAAAATTTCTCAGCCATATTCCATGATTTGATGCCTCATAGCATACTACAAATTCTTGACATCCTGCAAAATATGAGTCAGAAAATCCAGCGATCTCTAACTGGTCTGACCTCCTATATGTGAGCATATAATCTTTTGTTCTCTTTAAATATCTTATGACCCTTTTTGCTGCTTTTCAATGGTCTATTCCTGGATTGTTTAAATATCTGCCTAGAACCCCAACTATGTATGCTATGTCTGGACGCGTGCATACTTGGGCATACATCAAACTCCCTACAGCTGATGCATAGGGAATCTTTTGCATTTCCTCAATTTCCAAATTCCCCTTTGGGCACTGATTGAGACTAAACTTGTCTCCCTTTAAACTTGTGATACATACAATCATCAACAATATTCATCTTGAAGCCAAATGAGTTTCATACCTTCTAGTAATGGGACAAGTTCCCAATAACCTTATTGTCTTGCATGGACTTATACTTCTCCTTCATTGCTTCAATCCACTTTTCAAAGTTAGAACCTTGCATGGCTTGACGGAAGTTAACTGGGTCATCTTCCATCATACCATTATTATCTTCATGTTCCTGAAGAAATACCATGTAATCATCCGAAATAGCACTTCTTCTTTCTCTAGTGGATCTCCGCAAAGTTATTGGCTCATGATGCACAGGTTCTTGAGGATCTTGAGTTTGTTCTTCATGAACAACCAAATCATCTTGAGTAAGTGGTTCATTAACAATGCATTGTGGAGGTTCCGAACTTACTTTATCAAAAGTAACTGTTTGAATCGGTTCTGGAATTGTTACCGATTCTTCCTCTAAGACAAAGTTCCTGATTTTATTCTTCCCCCCAAACTCAATATCCTCAAAAAACGTAGCAGTTCCCGTCTCAAAAATTGTCTTTAATGTGGGATCATAAAATTTATATCCCCTGGATCTTTCAGCATAACCAATAATATAACTACTTACTGTTCGAGAGTCCAATTTCTTTTCATTTGGCTTATAAGGCCTTGCCTCAGCTGGACATCCCCATACATGGAAATGCTTCAAACTAGGTTGTCGCCCAGTCCAAAGCTCATAAGGTGTTTTGGTAGCTGCTTTAGTT